AAATTATTCCCAAAAAAGAATCCGTAAAATTATACAAAAATTGGGTGATCAAGAAATACGTAAAAATGGTATAAAAATACGTGTAGTAAAATTTAAGAAAAAATTATAAAAAAATGGGTTTTCAGAGAATCCATAAAATTTGTATGAAAAATGTAAGATTTTTTTTATTATTTTAATTATATCAAAAATAATATAATTACTTTAATCATATTTAAATATGTTAAGTTAATTGTATTGATAAATAGAAGTTAAAGAAACTCTTAATAAATTATATAAAATTAATACTGATTAAATACAAAAAACCTTTGGAAAGACAGATTTGTCCAATGGGATTGGATTCATTCAGTATGTTAATTTAATCAAATTCTATAACAATGATACAAATGAATTAATCACTCTTAACATGTGTCAAAACCAACATAAGGGAAGTTAAAATTCAAAGTCTCACATAAAACAAATTCCGATTTAAGCAATTTGAAAATAAATTAATTGGATGATAGTTGAATAATGGTTCGAAGGACAACTGGATGGTCATCGGATGAATAATGGGATGTTGATCGTTTCGATTCTAGATGTCATTCAGAACCGACCGATCCAAATTGGATGTTGAAATTTTCAATCCGATTCAATTACAATTGGATATTCAATTATGGTCGGTCGGTTCTAATTAGATCGGTTGATTTTCTGCACATCCTAGTAAATACCCCACCAAAATGTTTCACAATCAACTATCTATTATTTTTATACCGGGTCGATAAGGGTTAAAAATGCTCACGAGATCACGTGTATCACATCATATTTGCAACACAATATACAGAAAACTGAAAGTGTTGTTCTTGGTCTATGGGACCGCTAACACCGTAACCGACCCCAGATGATTCTTTAGAGCTATACAAAGAGCGTCATCAAAGACTAATTGATCAAGCTTCTTTTAGAATGATATAATAGGGGAGAGCAAAGAAGATAGGAAAAAACATAGATGAAAATTGAATGCTTCTTTTCTTTGATGCAACAACAACATTGTTGTAGTACAAAAAAAACCCTGAATCTATATAAAAGAGCTGGAAAATGGGGATTTACGTTCTTCAAGCAGTTTCTACAGGGGGTTTGGGACCGTGAACAAGAGACGGATAGGGGGTTTCAGAGGAGATAATAGGGGAGAACAAAGGAGATAGGACAAAACATAGATGAAGTTGAATGTTCGACGTTTTTGGTGGTTTTGAGGCGGTGATCAAAGAGAATCAAGGAGAGGAGTGAGTTCACGAGAGGAAGAGGGAGTGGTTGTGAGTGGCCGAAGATACGGTAAGAGAGAGGGCGTCAGAGTAAGGAAGAGGTGTCGAATGGACATTCTCGGGAAGGACGTTGTAGGTGGGCATCCAGTCGTGTATCTACATTACCTGTATGTTTGTGTGTGTGTGTGTGTGTATATATATATATATTACATAATATATATAAATTCTAAAATTTTCTATTTATCTAAAAGTAGATGTGAAATGACTAAAAAGCCCATCGACTTAACGGAGCTAAGTTAACAATGTTAGATGCAGGGGCCTAATCCATAACAAAATCGAAACCATAGACACCATACTTGTAATCATTTTATTTGAGGGACCCAATCCAAAATTTCATATAACTATAGGGACTAAATTTGTAATTTACTCTTTATTATACTATCCTTTTTTATCACTAAAATGATTAAAATAAAACTACATCATCATTTAGGGTGTGTTTGGTACGCAGACAGGACAGAACAGGACAGGACAGGACAGGACAGAACAGAACAGGACAGGACAGGTGTTCCGCGTTTGGTAAGACATAACAGGACAGGACAGAACAAGACAAAACTGGTTAAAATGACCAATTTACCCCCAGTGACATTTCAAATACATAACTACATATCACAACACAATGAACAATGAACAATCCTAAGAACCCTAAATCAAACATTTGAGTGAATTACGTCTAATKAACCAAAATTACTAGTTAAAATTCACATTTAAGCCTCGAAAATAGAAAAAAATTGAAACAAAATACATGAATTTCCCAATTCAAGCAGTAACAAATTTCCTAAATCGAAACAAAAACCCTAAACAAGATAATATTCAAATTCAAGCAGAGGCCTGCTGTGGAGAAGACAAGCGAGAGAGATAGAGATAGTTTTACCTTAAAAAAAGATGGAGGACACGRTGGAGATGGAGGCAGAGGCCGGCTGTGAAGAAGACGATRGAGATGGAGGTCTGCTGTGGAGGAGACGATGGGGATGGAGGTCTGCTGTGAAAAAGCTGTGAAGAAGACGATGGAGATGGAGGTTCGTTGTGAAGAAAACGATGGAGATGGAGGTCTCCTGTGAAGAAGACGATGGAGATGGAGGTGGCGGTGGCTTGAAGAAGACGATG